TACACAGCGCTTTTATAGTGGGTGTTGAAATTTTTGATACCAAGATTTTCTTGCTAGAGTTCGTCCAGTTACATTTCAAATTTCTGAACGAGAAGAAAGCAATTTCTTGTCGCCGTCATAAGGAAAGTTTGATATGGCCTATATCGAACGGGACGTCTGTACGCTAGCAGTGAAGTGCATGTCGGAGATATGCTTGTTTTTTAACCTATTCATTCGCTTTATTGTACGGAAGAGTCAATTTCAAACAAATGAAGAGGGAATTGAATAAAGTGGTTTTAAGTTTCGTATCACTACAAAGCAGAATTCGCCAAGAATTCGACTCTTCATCCGTCTGACCCTACTGTGGCCATACAGCGGCGATAGTGATCCTGATTAGTACGAGAGGAACAGCAAGTTCAGACATTTGGTTCATGGACTTAAGCGCTCGATGAATGGTCCAAAGCTAACATCTAGGAGATCGCGACTGAACGTCTCTATGTCGGATTGCTAGCGGGTCAAGACAAAGATAACTTTGTTTCACGGTGTTCGAAGGCAACTATATCTCATGGTGATATTAGAGTTTATGTTGTGCCTAGTATATAGCTTTGCTGGAATAAATAACTGCTGCTGATTGCCAGTGGCAGATCACTCTGGCTCAATGTCGAGACTCAAAATCACGTTTTTTACACCGCCATTCTATGAAATGAAGATTTATGGTTGCAAAGTGTTGAGTGATACTCTGGCAGTTAACTGGCAATTCCTATTAGAACAACCGGCATCCATTAATCTAGAATGAGTCAAAATGCTCAATCTTTCTCATCAAGAACACATAGGTTTTAAAGCACTTGAAACTGTACGATTTTATCTCTAACTTCAGACTTTCATACGACCATTACGACGTTGACGGTGGTTCATCTGAAGGATGGAGTATAGTAAACGCAGGTACTCAAACTTTCTTTTCTTCAGAATTATTTACCAAAGATTAGAAATGAGAGGCAAGAACAGTTAGTTAGTATACAGCTCCTACTACGCATCCAATGTCAGTCTGCTCTTGAAGAATGAGTGAGGACCGTAACTATAACCCAATATATCCAGCAATTTTCTTGAACATTTTCTTAGAATTCCTATTTGGAATCGAAAATGTAGTGGTGTAAAAAAAATTCAGTAGCGTATTATCCATACAGAAAATGTTGCTGCTTAAATAAACTTAACTGAGTTAAGTGATGTTTTGACTTTTTAACTGAGTGATTCAAATGAAAGCACAAACGTGTTCATAGATTTGGCACTCTCTGTGATCCAATGAAATTCAACACCAAGTGATTTTTATAAATCGTTCGACATCGACAGTTTTCGCTTTCGTAGTCTATTTGTTGAGCGGCTGTACGAGTTTACCATGACGGCTAGCACCATTTATGCAAATTCACAATTACAGAAACTTAACTATCAAAGCTCGATGTGGGAGTCTCAAAATGGAGAGCACCACAACGAAACAGACTACACCATAGTATAGCGAAAGTTCTGCCTAACCTATGCTGAAGTTCTCCCAAAATTCTACATGGGATCAGAACATCATCTCCTTCGTGTAAGATTTTATTTCTCTCGGAAAGGAGAAAAAGCCCCTAAATTCAAAAACCGAAGTCCCAGAGCCACCATAAGCTGGGGCTTATTCGATTCATTAGTCGGCTGTTGGGAAGATCCTGCTCTCGATATCATCGACAAGGAATGCGATCGGCTCATTCAACATCTTCACGTTAGCAGGGTTATCGGTGATTTATCCCTCATTGGAATTTTTAAAGTGGCGTTGGCTATCTGAACAGAAAGTGAGTTCAGTTAAAGTACTTCACAGAAGTTGCCCTGTACAATCTGTTCTTCCGTTCACAATCGACTTTATCGAGCAAACGTCAGCAAAGTCTTCATTTGTCTATCTCGGTGTGTCTGACTTACCTGTTTCTGTGCAATCGAATAACTCGAAGACTTTACGGTGGTTTAGCGAAGTATCGAGCCAATGCTGCTATCCTCCCAGACAAGTCTGGTAACAATTCGCCGACCTAGGGGGATGGAGGGCTTGGTGAGCCTGCGGTACGAGGATCGATCCCATATGTATTACAGGTCGCCCCGACCACTGCGGCATATGCTCTCATTGTTACCTTGGTATTCTTATATATAGTTGCAGTTTTCGCGTTTTACTACTTATTTTGCAGTACTTTTTCCGTTACTTGTCTTATCGCGAAGCTCACTTACAAAGATGAACAAGTTGGAATGAAGTAATTCTTCGTATTCTTTTTGAGCAAACGCAAGGTGTTATTTTATTCTTTATTCACGAACAAGCCGACGTTTCAGCGGATTTCGCCTTCCTCAAGCCTGGAAAGTTGAAGTTCACAGCAATCTATTCGGCCAAACACCTCCATAACCAAACAGAGAAAACGCTAAACCAAGATTTCAACCACATTGAACACAGTTCCGCACACTCACCGCTTTCTATGAGGCTTCCACTGAGTATGTCGCGTGGAGACCAACCGCACAGAATTCACATGGAAGCGTAGTGTGCCCCTCTCATCAGAATAACAGGCTTATATACTGCCCAATATCACGCGTGATAATGAGGAATTCTTCCCTGTGGCTCATTTTCGGATCTCTGGAATTAATCCAGAACGCCTCGAGAGTTTTGCGCGCTTGCGTTCTTGTTTCCTGTACGAGGATCGTGACACGTACTTCAAAGTCCTCCCCGTTATGCCTCTGGGTCCTATGCGTGCCTAGTGGGGTATTTCGTCTACGTTTTCCGATTAGGTGTTTTTTTATGCGGACACAGAGTGGTCTACCCGTTTCGCCAATGTATTCGTCTCCGCACTCCTTACAGGAGATCAGATAAACTATACCCGAGCTCATGCAATCACGGTCTCTACCATTAGGGCAAATTATGCAATTTTACGTTGCACATAGACGGTTATATAGGCGGTCACGAACAAGCTGGCGCCTAAGGGTACTAGGTGGCATTTCAACTACGTTTACCGAATTCTCTAGACCCGCCCTTCTTTTTTTTTTTTCTTAAGCAGCGTTTTATAGGTGCACTTACACCATTTGAGATGAAGGGTAGGATAAACGGTACCTTTTCATCGGTGATGTTGTCGTTCGGGGGCCTGGAATTTCCACTACACCACATCCCTAGCTACAGTTTCGTAGCAATTAGAAGTGGATATTTGCCGTGCCAGGTTGGGGCACTCCTCTCTCTGCTTTCTTACCGTACACACGTTGGTTGCAGTTCGAAACATGTTTCTTACTTTAGACATTCTTTAGAAGAGCCCAATGATGAAGTCGATGCTGAATTTCGGCTCATTACGAATGAAACTTTCAAAGCCCTCAATCACTATCGCGCGAAAAGATACAGCTCCAACCTCACTGAAGTGCAAAAATGTGGTATGCGAGAGGTACGAGAGCTGATAAGGTTGAAAAACACAAGACTATCCGTTAGTGATAAGGGTGAAGAGTTTGTCGTAATTCCCCATCAATTAGATGTTGAGATAACGAAAAAGCATTTTGAAGATGCTTCACTTTTCATCTGAGAAGGAATTTAAAAATACCGAAAATTGAGCCACTAATGGGTTAAATTGGCAAGGGCTGCTGGTTTAAAACCATCAGTTATCTCTCAAATAGAAGTAAACTTACCAATATGTCCCGTTTTGTACTTGCTTATAAAAACTCATCAGTTAGTATCCAGCGTTGATCTTGCGTCTACCAATCCATCATTGTTTAAGGTTAAACCTATCATTAGCTGTGTAGACGGGTCAACGGATAGGATAACGTGGTTTTTAACTCTAATATTTAACCAGTTGTTGGAACACATTCCAGCCCATCTTACGAATATCCAGATGTTCCTGGATCGTCCGCGTACTGCGCAGCCCAGCAGCGCGTAAGTGATGGAGTCCTCAAACGTTACCGTCCTTTATACAAACGTGTCGAATGACTCCGCAATGCAAGCCTTATGCGAACTCCTTATACAACACGAAGGAGAAATAAACATGTACGGCTTCAAGATAGAGCAGTTGATGGCACTCTTAAAAGAATGCTTGAGGTGCTCAATCTTCAGATAGTCCGGAAAGTACTACGCTCCAATAAAAGGGTTGACAATGGCACAACGACTGGCACCAAGCCTTGCCATTGGGTTTATGTCTAAGGTGGAAGCACCGCTGACCGATCTTGGGCCGCTACTCTATTGTAGATATATAGATGACTGTTTTGTCCTTTGCTCAACACAAGAGGAAATGGAAAAAGGTTCCGAGTTGTTAAACGAACAGTCAGAGTATACCAAGTTCACCGGAGAGAAACCGAAAGAAAACTAGCTTCCATTCCTGAACGTCCAAATTAACCTGTCAGAAAATGGCTACATTACGAAGTGGTACCGAAAGCCAAGCAGTAAAAACATCTTGGTTCATTACCTCTCTTCTCACCCCTCTCACAAGAAAAGTGCTTGTAAGAAACATGATGTTTCGAACAGCAACCAACGTGTGCACGGGAAGAGAGCGGAGGAGTCCCGGAACTTGGCACGGCGAATAACCATTCTTAATGCCAACGAAGCCGTAGTTCGCTATAGGTGTAGGGAATTCTAGGCCGCCAAACGACAACTCTAGAGGCAACAAGGTCCCGTTTATCCTACCCTTAATTCCAAATGAAGTAAGTGTAGCTATAAAACGCTGCTTAAGAAGGGTGGGTCTAGAGAATTCGGTAAACGTAGTTGAAATGCCACCGAGTAATCTTAAGCGCCAGCTAGTTCGTAACCGCCTATATGACCGCCTATGTGCAACGCAAAATTGCATAATTTGCCCTAATGGTAGAGACCGTGATTGCATGAGCTCGGGTACAGTTTATCTGATCTCCGGTAAGGCGCGCGGAGACGAATACATTGGCGAAACGGGTAGACCACTCTGTGTCCGCATAAAAAAACACCTAATCGGAAAACCTAGACGAAATACCCCCACTAGGCACACATAGGACCCAGAGACATAACGGGGAGGACTTTGAAGTACATGTCACGATCCTCGCACAAGAATCGAGAACACAAGCGCGCAAAACTCTCGAGGCGTTCTGGATTAATTCCAAAAATCCGACAATGAGCCATAGGGAAGAATTCCTCATTATCACGCGTGATATTGGGCAGTATATAAGCCTGTTATTCTGATGAGAGGGGCACACTACGCTTCCATGTGAATTCTGTGCGGTTGGTCTCCACGCGACATACTCAGTGGAAGTCTCATAGAAAGCGGTGAGTGTGCGGAGCTGTGTTCAATGTGATTGAAATCTTGGTTTATCGTTGTCTCTGTTTGGTTATGGAGGTGTTTGGCCGAATAGATTGCTGTCAACTTCACCTTTCCAGGCTTGAGGAAGGCGAAATCCGCTGAAACGTCAGCTTGTTCGTGAATAAGGAATAAAATAACACCTCGTGTTTGCTCAACAAGAATACGAAGAATTAATTCATCAATTCCGAGGTTAACAGAAAGTCAGTCGTGAGATTTAGAATGCAGTTGGACTTGCAACTTCATAAGTAGGAAAAAACGAATATTCAACAATTCTCGTCAAAAGAAAAAGAACTGGGAAATAAGGACTAAAATCAGAGATAATGCATTTCTGCCGGTCAAGATAATAAACTGTAAAACCACTAATCTGACCTGACTTAACCCTTTGTATCACTACTGTTTTTCTTGTTACACTATTTACTTCTGTCTCTTTATGAACGTTATTTTCACCACTAGTACTCTAGGACCGGCTCGTAGACCATATAACTTTCCCAAAACAAAGCTGATAACCTTTAGATGTGTATTGTCATTTAGTATGCGAAGAGTTGAAGAAGGACGGTATGTTGCTGATCAGTATTGACAGCGGACGAGGTTACGAGGCGATGCGAGGTTTGGCTGACACCCTCGACATACCGCTCATTTCGCTCACAGCCCCGCTTTACCCACAAGAGCCACCAAACTTGTGAGTCTACAAACAGCTACTACATCGTACAACTTTTTACTTAATGCCTATCATTTTTTCATGGCAGGGTATTATGCGAAATAATGTAATACCTTGTGATTTCGTCTACAGACTCAGCTTAACTGGGTTCAATGCCGATTTGTGGTCTCCAGATCATCCCAGTGGACGAGTGATTGCCGGGGGCACCGCAAACTTAAAAAATTATCTGAGAGACAAGGCAAAACAAGTGTCTTGGTTAGTGTGGTAAATAGCACGGGAGCTAATCGAAAACGGTCACCGCGGGTTCGAATGTGGCTTGTGGTCTGAGTTCTGCAAGGATCTCAATATCTACAATGATCCCAACGTTGACAACCCGTCAACGGGATTGAAAAGAGGGTGATTTCTAATAGCAGAGACTAACCTAGAGAAAGGCAAAGCAAGGCGGCTTTCAGTGGTGTCGTGTGTAACATGTAAGCCCCCAGAATGGGTAACCGCGGTTCGATCTGGCTGGGGTTCATGTTTTGCAAGTATCTCAGCATCACTGTGTTGCAATTCACATAATATCCTGCCGTGAAAAACTGTAGTAGAGAGCAAATAAAAAGTTAACACTGTGATATCCCAACATCATTGTGCTTACTGTATCGTTATTAATGCTGTGAACATTATTACGATTCTTATCATTATTGTTATTACAAACTATGTTAACTTGTTGAAGAGCGCAAGAGAATGCAGTTGAAAATAACAACAGCGAAAATATTGAAGTATCAAAATAATGCTGAACAGGGAACTAACAATTGTTCTAAACATACATTACACAGATATAAACGGTTGATCTTACAGACAAGAACTATTGGTTGGAACAAGTTGAGGCAACCACCGACCGGAGAATGGGGCGTTTTTTGAAGAATTTTCGATAATTACGTGAAGACACTGGCTGAGGAATTGAGAGGATGAAGAGTGTTTCAGTTTCGAGGTGTCGGTACGACCGTCTTCGACGGAGCTGCTCGCAGATCTGATCATTCACAAGCAGTGGAGTGAGGTCTTCATCTTGACGGACGGAGAGCATTGTAGGTATTTTACGTATGCTATTCTGTTATTACTGTAGAACTTTGAATGACGTTTCAACAGTAACAGAGGAATACCTTACTGTAATTCCATGAATTGCTGTCTAAATAACGTCAATAACGTCTTCGGTCCCATTTTCAGAGTTCTTATCTCAAAACCTTTTGGGAGCCCAATTTTCTGCAAGCATTATTGTTGTGCTGTTTTTGAGAAGCTCAGGAATACGGGTTTTTTTTTCTTAGAAATCCATAATCTTCTAGCATAAGTTTTCAATGCTTTCGATTGCTATGACATGGTAATTCCGAATGGTTAAAGGATAAATGATAAAGCTCTCGGCGTTGATCAATCCCTATGGGATGCGTCATACATTGAACTTTATTGAGCAATGTTAGAGGTGGCTGAATGCTGATCTGGCATATACAAATGACTCGCGGTGCCCTATCGAGCCAGTGCTGCTATCCTCCCAGATAAGTCTAGTAGCAATATCCCGACCCGGAGGAATGAAAGGTTTTGTGAACACAGGGGCATGGAGTCAAACCAAACGTTGCTTTTGTATTGCAGGGCACCTCTAACCAGTGTGCTATATGGGCCCCTTATTGCAGATAGTGAAAGGAAATAATAGGAATTTCTAATTAGGGGAAATTATTCGCTGGGTTTTTTACATTGGAACAAATGGGATATGCAAGGAAAATTCTGTTTTAGCCGGTATTTCACTGCCATGGTTATGGCATCATCTGCACAAAAAATCGAATTCGTCGACGACGGCTCAACTTCTTGAATTGCCGAAAGATCCCAATAAGTTCAGTGAATTCCTGGGAAGCTTCAACCTAAGGCGCTTTAACGACACAAATAGGTGAGTCGCAATTTTTATGGAAATTCCCACGAATATCCAGGTATGTTCAGAATTTTGATTGACACCACGTCATCATCACGACAGCAAAAGTTTCTCTCTGCTGTACGCACCGCTCAGTTCAGTCAAACGAATTACCACTACGTGGTGGCCAATTTTGTAAGCTTAATTCTTTTTGTTTGTTCTTCTATTAACAGAAAAGATTTAGTAATAGAAAGTTCTCAAGATCCGATCTGCTCAATATCCAAGCCAAGCGTAGAGCACGCTTAAGTTTCCTGTCAGTTAGCCGACACTCGACCGCTCTGTATTCGAAGGCCTAGCAACATTTACAAGAAACTTCAGGAACCTAATAAAAATAAAAGTATTTAGGAATTAAAAAGCCAGTAATTCAGATGGCGAAATAAGTTTGAGAATGACTTTTAGGATTTCCTGTCTTACGACGTTGAGACATTCCAAAACGGCAACATTAATATTACTGGCTTCCAACTAATCAACAAAGAAAGAAGAGCCTATTGGAATCTAAAAAGACATCTGAGGAAGTTGGACGACAACTTCATCAACAACTATGACGACGTCGATGTAGGAAATAATCAGCACATTTTTTGTTTGATATAAATGCTCCGCTTTCGATTCAGAGTCGTGGCGCATTGGCTCACGATGCTATGCTGGTGGCTTGGAAAGGGTTTGCGAAGTGCCTTGCATCAAACGACTCGCTCTTTCACGGGACATTCCGTCATGGTCGTTTTTTCAACAGAGGATATCCAGGTGAAACTACGGTCTCTTCACCTTTGATGTAGGGAGATACTGTAAGACCTAGCGCTCATTGAATCAATATGATGAAGTTCAATGATTTTATCTGTACATATATTCAAAAGTCCACAAAATGTAGTAACGTAGCAAATTAGAGCGTGATGAACCAATATACATTATCCAGGTACAAATTTTGAGAAAGGACGCAGTAGTCGTTTAGTTTTGCGGGTCTTTACATTAAACTCTCGGTCTTCGCTTTTCGAATTTCGAATTCTTGTTAGCTGCTTACAACATATCAGTTATCTATTTATACGACCCAGCTTCACACTTTGTGCATTTCAATACAACTCTTCCAATCAGTTCACTGTTCGCATCCGTCATCCACGAAGGTCTTCGGGTTCATTCATGGGTTCGGTTGCCAATCGAGGACTTCATCTTCTTCGTAAATATGGTTGAAAATTGGCCTAGCCGATGATGGTTCCTGGGATACTGGGATAAGCTTAAAAGAACGTCCACATTAGAGGCAGCCGCTGGCCTTTGTGAATGGAAGAGAGCTTTTCCCAAACAAATTTAATACCAGTTTGGAGACCCCGAAGGTACGGGAGACGTGGTAGGACTATTGCGGTGTCGAACAAAAACAACAACACCTGTAACCACTGGGTTTCCCGCAGCTCTCATTATACTACGTACTCAGCGCATAATATTACTTTCACTATATGCTCATAACATTGCTTACTTCACCATAAGACCATTACTTATAAGAAAGTAAAGAAAGCCTTAGTAAAAAAGCGCAGTTCAGTGAAAATCGCTTGTCGCATAATAGCGATCATCTCTTAGCATTTTACGTCATTATATACGGGAAAAAGCCTAGCTGAAAGGTCCCTAAAAGTTTCCGTCTTTTATATCTTTATTAGGGATCTACTGCGACCCATTGGCGGATCGCGCACATCCGGCTAGACCGTTTGCGTCGTTCGAGCACGGAAGGACGGTGATGAAAGCGCTACGAGCAGTAAGTGCTAAGAGTCTCTTTTCGTTCACTGCAACATTCTTAATGATGAGCTTTGAGCTATCCATTGACTCAAAAGACGGCACACTCACTGGAAATATCGAATTCGACCGTTTTGGTCAACGCAAGAACTATGACGTCTCCGTGATCGATCTTGTTTCAAACACTAAGGCCACATTCAATAGAAAAGAGGTAGGTGGATGTTTCAGACAGAAATCCACGAATTTGTGTAGGTAGCTGGTCCGCTAAATCTTGAGGACGATTGGGAAATGGTGGCGCTGGTACTGGCACATTTCATTTATGAGTATACATCCTCTCAACACCGCTATACCAGGAAGGAATCGTTCCACTTACAGGGGATTCCATTTGCAATATAGCAAACGCATGGGAAGTTGTTATCATTCATGCTTTCTTCTAGAATTGAGCTACTATCGCGAATTCGTTCTTTCTCGTCCTTGATTCGTTCTCGCACAATAAGCACCAATTTTGACTTCGTAGGCTTTATGACGTTGCATGACAAAAGAATGTGCATTAATGCAGAATGTGATAAAACCGACTAAAGCATTAACCATTTCTTATCCACAACAAGTTAGATTGAGCTTCTTGCAAATGGATTTTCCCACCCAAGGTGATCAATCGTAGGTGATCAGGTCAGCTGTCAAACGATATCGATTCAAATTTTGAGATCCTCGTATGGCGACAAGGAACAGGCTTCTTCGCTGATCGTACTGTCGCACAGCACACTCGTAAGGCCGTCGAGAACCGAAACAAGAACGTCGTCCGCGTCGTGACCGTCTGGGTAGGTCGCTTCTTGGGCGAGCTCGAGTTTCTTTATCATTGCAAAGTTAAAGACATGCCGCTATACTAGGCAAATCCACCTCACCATAACTATATAGATCTTCCTATTTGAAAGTGGAACTTAACAGGTTACCTTTTGGTATTAGTTTGATTTTATTCACCAAGCTGGAAGTTGTTGCATGGAGAATGGAGGACAATCTATAAATCTAGGCTTTTTGACCAACGCATAATCCGGTACCAGAATATCTTCGTTTATTCAGTTTAAACAACCGTTTGAGGTAAATCTTAGTGATTAAGGATGTTCCTAGGTGTTCCTGGATGTCGGTTACGATGTGCAGCGTGGTGATTCATACCCCGGGCAGAGTCTTCCAAGCTGAGAATGAGTCCGGCGTCTCCATCAGGAAACCCAGCTAAGAGTGAACCAATAGCAGGATCCACCACTGTCCTGGTACCAAACTAGTCGCACGGTGGCAAATCTCCCTCTGATCCACAAGGGCTGCTACCGCCTGTTGTGGTGATGACCTGGCGCAGACTTTGGTCAGGCTGTCTTCGGGACTCCAGGGAACTACAATGGCTAAACTATCAAATCTCCGAAGAATGGAGATTGTGCTGGGATCCGCGCAACCAGTGAATACGCGCCATCCAAGTATCCAAGTAAGATTAAGGGTGTTTTCTCAATTTCTTGACATCATCACGAACTTGCAGTTAGTACGTAAAACTGTACGAGCTACCTGAATGCGAGAAACAAAGTAATGAATTAATGAACTCATATTGTTAAGCCGATATCCGTCAGGACCACATTTATGAAAATAATTAGTTTAAAATAATATGATTCGTGAAAGATTATAAGGTGTCAAATATAAGAGCTATGAAGAAGGATTACTTGACGCTCCTGAACGAACATGCTATCAGGTGGCCCCGTTCGTGATGACTAAACGCGAATGTCTGGAGCAGAACAACCGAACTGAATGCCAGGGAAACAACAAGTACGAGGGATATTGTATCGACTTGTTGAAGTTGCTGGCCGATCGTATCGAAGGCTTCAATTACGAAGTCTACCTAGTGGACAAAACCGGATCAAAGCTACCGGACGGCAGCTGGGACGGCATGATGGGAGATCTACTCAATGGTCGTGCAGACGTTGCCGTCGCTTCGCTCACAATAAATCAGGCAAGTATACTCAAATCTTAAATAATTTCAGAAAAAATATTGGAACGAGTCCTCTGTTAAAACCCTCTACTACAAAGCAATCTGCTCTATAATCTTCGCTGTTTTGAGAAACATGAAGAATGTCATAGCTGCTTATGAAGCACGATGCTTTTGTGGAGAGTATGCCTGAGGTGGGGTCTCATGAGGCTTTCGTGGCATGGGTGGTCCTTATTTCCCGTGGGCGCTCAGGAACTACTTTCTACTCTTTTGTATCGTTACTTGATCTTTCAAATGAGATGGATCCATAGGGATAGTAAAAAAAAACATTAATAGCCGAAAATTAAAATGATATTCTCGTTTGAATTCAAATTCGATATCTAAGAAGTACTAGTATCATAAGCATAGCTCATAGGAATTTGCTCAATCAAGTTCCAAGGATAGTTTGTTCAGGAACGTGAGCGCGTCGTTGACTTCTCGAAGCCATTCATGACCACCGGTATTTCGATTATGATCAAGAAACCGGACAAGCAGGAGTTTTCCGTGTTTTCGTTCATGCAACCGCTCAGCACTGAGATTTGGATGTACATCATATTTGCGTATATAGGAGTTAGTACTGCCAGGCTTACAAACATCTAGAAACAGCTTCTAACTAACCTTTTTTTTCGAGGTATCTGTAGTAATATTTCTCGTGTCGCGATTTTCTCCATATGAGTGGAGAGTAGAAGAAACTGCTCGAGGCGGGTTCACCATTTCCAATGACTTTTCTGTTTATAATTGCTTATGGTTTACTTTGGCTGCGTTTATGCAACAAGGAACCGATATCTTACCAAGGTGAGTTCCTTCACTTCACGGATTTCATTGATCACGTCGTTTTTTACGTCTTGCTAGTCTGTTACAATCGCTTGAAGGACTGTTAGTGCAGGCCGCTTGGTTCCAACCGAAGTTCAGGGTTGTGAGAGATGATTCGAAAGACATCAAGGTATTGTAAGTGATGCAATAGAAGTGTAACTGAAGGAAATGAGAAATACCACCGAATGGAAATTAAGGAGCTCAAATCCTTTCTAGAATGAGAACGAAGTACGTAGGAAGATGACTTCTCACTTCTCGAAAAGCTTACTCGTTTCATACGCTGAGAGGACATTCAAATTTGAATGCTATGTCGACCACCTACAGATGAGAAAACACCTGTCCGTGTGCTTATTTTTCAGAGCAATTGCAATCTTTGTTAGAAGAACACCAAATTATGCAAACTTTGACCACTTCTGGTTTGTCTGTTCCGACATCGAACTGGCAAAGTAGAATAATTTTGTATGTCCCCGTCGACTTGGAGTTCCAAGTCATTTTTGGAGCCGAAATGATTCTTTCTCAAAAAGGAGCGAAATATGAAATCTGAGTGAAGAGATCTCAAAGTTTTCGACGAAAGTGGTTGCTGAAGATGATGTCAAAGACAACGCAGTGTTATAAGTGGTGCAAAAAAGTCATCTAATAGAAGTGTACATGAGAGGAGGAGTAAAAACTACTGATTGGAAATTGAGGAGCTTAAATCCTTGCTGGAATGTCGTCAGTTAGTAGATCAAGTAGACTTTGTGTTGCCAACTGTGAATTGATCCATGAGACCATCCAATAAGTACAACGTTGTCATTGTTATCCATGTCTACACTCTATTAACGTCATCTAGTGTAGGATGGCTATGACCTTCGTCTAGCAGACTTATCTGACCTTCTTCTTCGTCCCGATTAGAAATCTACATGCGAGCAAAATGTCCGGCCACGGCGAAATTAAATTTGGACGCGAAGAAAACACCATGAATGAATATATCAAGTCAAAAATATATGACGGGGTACATATATGTAGGGACTCACTAAGCGGAAAATCAGATGCGCCGTTATATTCGTCAGGAATACGGACCTGCATAACAATAACAATGTTCTCGGCACGACCACATTTATATAGTTGCGAAGCTCCCGAAAGCTCTCACGAAGACAGTGGATCGTTCTGTCTCATACTCATACATCTGAATAAGGCTTTCGCTTTGGTCCATTAATCAAAGATTTTGATAGAAACGATGAATTATTTCTTGACTATTTCTAACATTCATTTAGCACCTATAACTTTTTCCATGGCGCGGTATTATATGAAAAACAACCATATGAGCAAAATCCGGAACCTCAAGTGTGCTTCGAACCCGCGATTACTCTTTCCGGGAGTTCACAAGGGCCCGAGTTTTGCTCACATAACAGCATAATTGGGTTATATGTCACACAATACCCTACCATGAGAAAGAATAGGCAGTAAATGAAAGTTTAGAATTGTGATTCCGACTATAACTTCAGCTTAACTAAGTTCAACACCGATTTGTGCTCCTCGGATCATTCTCGTTGACGGCTGGTCTTGATAGCACCGCTAGGGTAAAAAAAAACTGGCTTAGAAACAGGCAAATCAAAGGCCTCGATGGAGCAGTGGATAACATCTGAATCCTGGAAAGGGCAATCGCGGGTTCGAATATGGCCGGGGTTCGGGTTTTGCAAATATCTCAGCATCACTGTGGTTCTGTTCTACAACTACTAAGGGGTTTCTATGACGAAGATTCCTATAGTTCTTCCTTTGTAACAAAAAATCTGAAGATGGAAAAAGCTGAAAATATCTGAATAAATTTTAAAATGAAAGTATCGCTATTCCACCGTCATAAAGTTAGACAAAATGAGGGAGCTGTACGACAAGGTGACGCCCGCTAACCGAAATTAATCATCACAGCTTACAGTGGGTGGGACGTTGAACTACCACTGTGAATTAGAAGATCCAGACATACTTGAGTGAATTTTTCCAGGTGATATAGGCAAAGAGATGTCTTCGATGCAAATGTCCAACGAGTTTACGAGGAGCAAGAGTATGTTCTGGTATAGGTACTGGACCTCTTGCTTGCTAGTTTGCTCGACGGCAATGTAGTAACAAACTTTCAAAATAGTTGAAGTGTAATAGTTGATCAACGGACGTTGGATAATGATGAACGGAGATGAGTGAAGCGTGATCTTAACGTGCTGTGCTCATAAATTGCGTAGTTATGCCTGTGCATCTGTACTCCGTCCGGAAGAACGATAGACTGAGCACGCATTGTATGCAGTAATTCGACGATATCTGTGGCCGTTTTGTGGACCAGACTATCCCGATACAATCGACTGTTTCGATGCAATCGTGTGGTAACTTCACGAGGATTCCGTGTAAGTTCTGTCGCAGGTGTTGAGCCGCCGACTCAAAAACGCTTTCTCGACGCAGAGTGTACAAAATATTTCATTCACCTCTGACAAAGTATACGCAAGCGTAAAAAAATGAAAAGGTCTCGGCGTTGATCAATCCTCGAGGGATATGCCATGCATTCGACTTCATTAAGCATCGTTGGAGGTGACTGGATGGACATATATGGCCTTTACAATGACTCGCAGTGGCTACCGATGTATCGAGCCAGTGCTGCTATCCTCCTAGACAAGTCTGGTGCCAATTTGCCGACCTCGGAGGAATGGAAGGCTTGGTGAGGCATGGGCGCGTGGATCGATCCCATGTGTGTTGCAGGGCGCCTCCGACCACTGCGCCACACGTGTCCACTTAAGCAAACGTAAACCTAACAAGTTGCAATTGCTGTGACCATCGATTTCCGTTATGTTACTAACATCCAATTTTTATTGCTGTCGAACTGGTTTAAAGTCATGACGTACGAACATGTAGATCCATACAACAGTGCAACACATTGGGGTGGAAATCAATCTGCACTTCTTGTGTTCTCCCATTCTACAGGTGTTTATCGAATAATTGACCCTAACGGTCCTCGTGACGGACAAAAAACTTTTGAATACAGTAAGGCTGTGGATAAATTTCCTATTGGGGTTAGTGATTTCTTGTCAACTATTGCGCATTTCAGGTCAGTATCTGGACGCATCGCCTCATCTGCATGGTGGTTCTTTACGATGATCATTGTTTCTTCATACACTGCCAACCTGGCTGCTTTCCTGACTCTCGAGAAAATGCAGGCTCCCATAGAAAGCGTTGAGGATCTTGCTAAGCAGACGAAAATCAAATATGGAATTCAAGGTGGTGGTTCTACCGCGTCATTTTTCAAGGTGAGTGTTATAAAGAAAAGACTCAATAAACACAACTAATCAGAAAGACCATTGCTACATCCTTTAACTGATTGTGTATAATTGGTTTAGGTGTTCGGGAAGTAATGTAGGGTTCTTAAACCCAACTCAAAATACGTCAGGTGTATGTTTTATTAGTCGAAATAGAAATCATCAGAATCCTCACATCCTCGCCAACGACGTATAAGGTTATCTACTGAATCACGTCGCGTCCGAAGCTACCTGATGAATAACCTGAAATTCTTTTCAGCAGTGGCTTGACGACTGAAGATTTTTCAAATAGTGATCACCAAGGTGATTGAAAACGGTTAGCGCAGGTGGTCTGTTTATGGGAAGAGGCAGGATTGAGTACTGAGTGACAACGTGATTTTGTGAACCTCCTGACTTTGTCTCTGCTGATCCGACATTATCTTTCGGGCAGCCTGAAATATTTTGCTTGATTCTTCAATGCACCGTGTTCACGAAAAATCATGCATTTCCCAATAGAAGCATAGAAGACAAAAGTGGAAATAGTGAAGTAATGGCTTTGTCTTGTAGTACTCGTCGGTTCAAATATACCAGCGGATGTGGCGCTACATGGAGTCCCAGGTACCGTCAGTGTTCGTCTCCAGTTACGCGGAAGGTATCGAAAGGGTTCGCAGCCATAAGGGACGGTAAGATAAGATATTTACTCTAAAGCATAACAAGCATTTAGAGAGCTACCTGGGTGGCACGGAGAAAGGCAAATTTATTTTTAAATTTTAAAAACTAACATCGGTCTAAGCTGGGTTCAAATGGCCAATATACTGGATTACTGATAAGCAGCAAGCATTCGATCTGGATGTTCACAGCACGGTTGCGATGTGAGTGCCGCACTGAATCGCATTGAATAGAAGCGAGCACCTCACGACACGTTTGTAATAGATGTGACGGCAACATTACTGTGTTGTTGTTAGTAGTAATGATGGCAAAAAAATTGATTCTCCTTGTTGCATTGTCCTCGAACGGTTGCTTTACCAATTGTAGCATCCGTTGCTTCCATACCAAAATTGCTGTTCTTGAAGAATAGGAGTTGCAAGACAGAAAACTTCCCTCGACCTCATAACTTTCATGCCTAAATGCCTGTAGTGAAGATTTTAGAACTAAGTAGTTTCGACCTGCAGTCACTGTATCAACAAAGAAGGGAGTTAATAAATCCTCAAGCAGTAGTTGGGGCAGTATACGAATCCAATCACATCCGTGGATGAGAGTGTAAAATAACGAAATGAATGGAAGCAATGCTAGGACCCACAGATTTGTGAAGTTGGATCATCTGGGTATATGATAGCAGTAGTAGCAGTATTATTATGACGTGGGAGGGTAGCAGAATTGTTGATGATGCAGTCCATCAGGAAGCATGGTGTTGGTTCGATCTCCGGCTCAACGCCCTCCTCCAATCCAGGTGGGAACGCCCTAGCTCGGTTATCTCCAACATTGCGAGGAGAACTGGTTTGACCAACATTCGACGACATTCATGAAGAAGACGAAATCCTCAGGCAGCAGCCGAAACAACACGCGAAATGTTCGAAGACTATTGAGGATGACGAATGGGAGGAAAGCGAATCGAGTGCAAGAAGTGCTGAGATCCATACAGTAGACGTGATGATGGGTGGTGTAATTTTTAACGAATAATAGTATTAATAACAAGTAATAGTAGAATAAGGGGCGAATAGCATAGTGGTAGTGATGTCCTTCATCACGAGCATGGTACTAGTTATATTCAGCTTCGGGCCAACCAAGCCTCTCATCCCTCCGGGCCTCTCATCCTTCCGGTGTAGAAAAATTGGTACCGGACTTGTCTGGGAAAAATCATTTTTTGCAATCCAACTGGGAACGCTCCAGCCTGGCTATCTCAGGACTCCAGGGAGAGTTGCTCGACCAGCACTCCATGGCACTCAAGATGAAATGAAAATCCTTAAGCACCAACCGAAGTCACACGTGAAGTTGGAATATCTTCGTGGACAATGGATGCGAGGAAACGAATCGAATGTGAGAAGTGCTGGAATCCGCACAGTAGACTTGAAGACGGGTCATTTAAAATAAAATAAAAAAATAGTAGAATAATAATGAGTGTTTTTTTTATTTAAGGCAAGGTGATCCACCCGTCTCCTGAAAAAAAACACGACTAGTGGTCACGTTGCTATTCTTTAGAGTTCATGTGGTTTTAACTATGCAACACTTTACAACAACAGCTCCTATTATTTCTGACTTCAACCTTCATCCACATTGTTCGAGAGCAACCATGTTTGTCGTATCACTTGTAATAAACAACAACTATTGAATAGTTCTTCTATTCTATTTCTATTTCTTCTATTTCTGACAGATGAACTATGGACTGTGTTAAAACATATGGTATAAACATACAGGACCAGCATTCTACAGCGCTAAGCTGCATATTCCAGATACGCTTTTCTGCTTGAAGCCACGGCCAACGAATACGAGAACACTCGCAAACCATGTGATACGATGAAAGTTGGTGAGTGCAAAATCATTAGAGTTGAAGTACATGACTAGTATTGACTATTCCTAAGGTGGTTTTAATGTAGGCAACTTGGACATTGCCTTTCAAGATTCCAACGCATAGGTGATGGTGCCAATGATCTTGTTGATTCTGCAAAGCCTGATTCAAAACGTACTATGAAAGTCACGAGGCAGAGCACAAACCTTGGAAAGCTGACAATTCCAGAATTGAACTTCTAGGAAAACTGGAGGGGAAGGAGACTTTAAAGTGCAAATGGGATTTTCCTTCATCAGTTTTTTTAGCGTAATTGAAAAAGACCATTGCATTCTTTTTTAAACTGAGGTACGAAAAAAAGAGATATTAGATCCATCCATATTCACAGTTTTCCTTGAAAATTAAACTGAAAGTCTTTGGTAAATATTTAGGCGCGAACCTTAACAGCATTGGCTATGGAGTAGCGACTCCGTTCGGTTCGGATTGGAAGGACCACATAAACCTAGCAATTCTTGCGCTTCAAGAGCGAGGCGAATTGAAAAAACTCGAAAATAAATGGTGGTACGATAGAGGACAGTGCGACCAGGGAATCACAGTGGTGGGTTTGAACGTTGAGCAATTTTTGGAGCAATATCTACAGAACGACTAGTAAGCTTATTTTCGTAGTTATTCGGCGCTCACAGACTGAACAGTCAGTCTCAGGCATCCAATTTAGGAATGATACTTTTAGATGGTACCAAATAACAGCACGCAACAACAAACAAATATTCATCACTGATTTGGCATCGACTTCATTATTATTGGACGATAAATGATAGATAAATGTAGCTCAATGGCAGATAGAAAATTAGCTGGGAGAAACGCAGAGCAAGGGCCTCCGTAACGCAGTGTGTACGCGAGCCTCCGGAAAGGGAAATCGCGGTTCGATCTGGCCCGGAGTCCAAGTTTTGCGAATATCTCAGCATCGTTGTGGTCGATTTCGCATAATATCCTGCCCTGACGATTGTGGCAGGCAGTAAATAAAAAAGTAAATATTGAAGGATGGCTCGTCAGCTTCTCTCAACTTATCGAAGGTGGCCGGCATCTTTTATATTCTGATGGGTGGTATGATAGCATCGATGATAGCCGCACTTGGCGAGTTCCTCTACCGATCCAGAATCGAAGCCAGAAAGGCTAATCCGAACTCACTCGTCGGAAACTTCGCGGTTAGTGGAAACATCCCATTGATATCTTGCTCAGTCTATGTATCCTTTCTGACAACTCACAACACTGAAAAAGAAATAGTCCATGTCACTAGAATTTATACAAATGCTCAACAATGCTTTCAGAAAAGCCTTAAGTCGGCACTGTCCTCCCAGTTGCAATTATCGATTAAAGGAGGCGCATTTGCTGAACCAGGTACACAGTCGTATGAAGCTCTCAAACGACAGCAGGTCAGTGCGCCATAGCGTCTATTTACCCCTAAGCCAAAAGTATCATGGAGAAGCTTGGGACTAGATAAGTTTCACTGAATCCATCTGATTAACTGAAAGTCTCTATTTTAATTTCCTAAATTAAAGCAGCTTTGTTAATGATTCGTTTTAAGGTCCTCTTTTATTTCAGACGGCATCCTTTCTTCCTGCATCGAATAATGAGGAGAAGAACGAGAACGTCGATGTGACGAATAGGAGCAGTGGGCTAACCAGCACGGCGTACAATACAGCCGTCTAGATAGTCAGTGTCATCGAGTGTAGGAAGAAAAATCACCAACCGATCTTCGTTGTCGTTTGGGGTTACGACTTGCTTCCTCCGGTGCATAATCGCAACTGTGAACTACAACGCACTTGTCTCCACACCACATATAGCACTAGACGACTATAAGTGCATTATCTCTGTCATACTGTTTCCTCGTTGTCAAATCTACGCTTCACATTCCAATGAACGTTGGAACAGCATGAATGTTGAATCAAGTACCATGTTTATCTATACCTTAAACAATATGAATGGTTAAACTGCAGTAGTAAACACCGTAGAGCTAAACATTGTCATGTTAAGTGCAAGCAATTAGCGCCGTCAAGTTCTCCTTTTAGTACATAGCATCGCCTTTCTTACATGAGACTACATGCATTTTTGCAATATTAACACACCTAGGGAAGCATATAGCAGAGCGGTAAGAGGGTCGTGCAATACGCTGGGATTGTTCTCCGCGCCCCAGGCCCACCAAGTCCTCTATCCCTCCGGGGTCGGCAAATTGATACCAGACTTGTCTGTGAGGACAGCAGCACTGGCTCGATACATCGGTAGGCCACCGCGAGTAAAGGTCAGATATGCCTTCAATTACCTCCAACGATGCTTAGTGAAGCCAGATCCCTCAGGGATTGATCAACGCCGACAGCTTTATCCTGAATCCTTTAGCACAGTTTATATTTTAAATAACGTGAAGTCCACAAACTAGAGGACGTATCTTTTGACGAAGAAAAATGACATTTGTAGTGGCTATAATGTTCATTTGCGTTCTTCCATACTATCGAACATATTCTCCATTGCTATAGAGACAACAAAACCATAGTTTAAAGCAAAACACAGGTGTTTGTAAACGTTGGTTCCACATTTACACTCAAGACTGCACACCCTGTATTAAAATTACAACGGGTAGAGTAATCGTAGTAATGCTGCTCAGTACGCCCAAAGCCCCCAGGTTCGACAGGGTCGCGACCCACCAAGTCTCTCAATCCACCGGTGTCGAAGCATTGGTACCACACTTGTCTGGAATGAGATCGCTCCCTACCATCCACAATAGGTGGCTAGTCTCTGTGATGAAGATATGGGAACGCTCTAGCACGGCTATCCCAGGGTTACAGAGGGAAGCTGATTTGACCAACATTCAAAGATGTTCACAGGAAAGAACAAAATCCCTAAACCACGCAAAATCCGGAAACCTCCTTGGATGGTGAATTAAAGGAAAAAATGACATCTGGTGTAAGGCCTTGTAGAGAAAAACATAAAACCAGGAGAACGAGCGAACGAAATGCAGTGACTTAGACAGATCTCTTCCCAGATATCATCCGATTTTCAGTTGAAGTACTATTTCTGTTGGAAGTCCTTAAACTCAAAATCATTTAGTGGATCTGTAGTATTGTGACAATGAATATTAATGGTTTACTCCCAATGAAAACGACAACACACGAATTTGGATGATAAATAAAGAACAATACGCACGTAAAACATTTCCCTTCTAACCCCTACCTCAGCAGACAGGTGAAATACTCAAACAAAAAACGTATCTGCTCGAATCAAATAACGCTTAACAATGATGCTTAAAACGAATTACACTAAAAGGATGTATCCCATTGCTCTCTAAAGTTTATACCTCGTAAAAACATCACAGATATTCCGATCACTAGTAGACAAAGTTTCTAATCAAAAACTTCACCAAAAATTTGCATGACGAGATGAGATCAGATATAGGAAGTCAAAGACTTACGATGACTCTACGACAATTCTGAGATTCATTCCACCAACTCGTACCTAAGAACATTTATTTTTGTAATAAACGTAAACAAATCACGATATCTTATAATAGTACTCGAGAAGCTTCCATGATACAAAAATCGTGCACCACTTCAAGTTGCAAGCCGAAAATCGTTACATTTCACCCACTTCAACAAAGTGGTACCCAGATAACCTTGAGCATCGTTTCAGCTACTATATGTGTCACAACTATGTATTTTTCAAACAAATCATTATTTAATGTTAACTTTTATCTACTGCCTATTACAATTTTTCACGGCAGGGTATTGTGCGAAATACAACCACAACGAAGCTGAGATATTTGCAAAACTCCGGCCCGCACGTGTCTGCGGTGGAGAACAAAAGCACTAGCTATTACTGGGCTAACGCGGTCACCACCACACCATGCGCGTCCTTCGTTTCGCCTTCCTCTCAGCTAGTTTTCTACCTACCAGTACCATCAGCTAATTGATTTGGTGAGTTCAAATCTCGTTAATGGGTGATTACTGATGATGCTGATCGATAAAAAACTAGCTAAGAGAGAGAGGCAAAGCGAAGAACCCGTATGGTGTAGTGGTAAGCACGTTGGGCCCCAGTAATGGTAACGGCGCGTTCGTTTCCCACCGCGGACACCTGCGGCCTGGAGTTTTGCAAACATCTCAAATTCCTATGTATTTTTTATGCGTTGCATTAAGCCTAGTTTGGAATTGCACAGTTGTGCGTCGTAACAATAAGCTTCGTAAAGTCTCTGGTGCTATTGCTAACAGTTTTCTTAATGAACTAAAGAAAGAAAGGGGAACGGAAAACGTATAGATAAAATACCTCAAATGTTTCGTAAATCAGTGGACACACCTCAACGGTAAAGCCGTTACCGTAGTGTGGCAGAAACTCCCAAATCATGCACTGACCGCGCATTCCAATAGGAACTTTGATCAGATTTCGGTCAATCATGATGGAATGAGGAAAGGAGACGGAAATCTGAAGTGTGGAAAATCAAAAATCACATTCTGAGCAAATTATCAAATCATTATCAAATTATTATAGAGGGAAAGGTAGATTCACCATCCATTATGCCAGCAACATAATATGAACCTAATTAGTCAAGAAAACTGACAAATTCTAAACAGGAAAACAATCAACATTCGCTCTAGGAGACGAGGTAACACAAACAATGTGATAACAGCATGGTAGGTATAATACGATGCCTTCCTCCGATGGACTATACATATATTAAAAAGACCAAGGATAAAAATGCCGGCGTTGATTAATCCCTGAGGGATACGCCATGCATTCGACTTCATTAGGCATCGTTGGCGGTAATTGAATGCATATCTGGTCTTTACAATAACTCACGTTGGCCTACCAATGTATCGAGCCAGTGCTACCGCCCTCTCAGACAGGTCTGGTAGCAGTCTGCCGATTCCGGAAAGATGGAAAGCTTGATGGGCCTGGGACGCGGGGATCGATCTTGTGTGCACTGTAGGGGGTGTCCGACTAGTGCGTTACACGCACATATGCATATATTACACCTATAAATATTACGAATTACAGTAGTTCAGCCTACTCACTTCCCACTGCGGCTCATGCATTTCGGCAGTCAATTCATCCATCACATCGCAACACCGTTTGTAGAAAGCCTGGATGACGGATTTCAGTCATTTTAAGTTCTAAAGTTATAGAGACTGCTTCAGATGCGAACCAGATACTCGTGTGACAAAATAGGAAGTAGTCATTATGAAGTACCTGTGCTGCATGACTTATGCCGTGGTGAGTGATCGCACAGACAGGAAGGCGGACTGCTCGACGAACAGCTTGATCTGATACAACGAGACGTACCAGCGCAGAATCATCAAACGTACGATGGATCTGAAAGAAACGAGCAACTGCTACTGCAGAAATCTAGGCAATAGTGTTGGCAACCTGCAATTGTTCACACTTCCTAATTTACTGTGCAACGGGACGCAGGTGGCGCAGTGGCCGAAGGCGCCCTGCAATGCATGTGGGATCGATGTAGGCGCCTCAGGCCCATCAAACCCTCCATCTATCCGGGGTCGGCAAATCGGTACCAGACTTGTCTGGGAGGATAGCAGGACTGGCTCGGTAAATCCGCATAGGCCAATGTGAGTCATTCTAAAGGCCAGATATTCATTCAATCACCTTCAGCTATGCTTAATGAAGTCTAATGCGTGACTCATCCCTCAGAGAATGATCAACACCGATAGCTTTATCCTTTTTTATTATACAACAGATAAATTAGATGAAGGAGAGTCATATATAAGTCATACCAAAGTGACACTTGGCGTTATGGTCACATTTTTTGCTGGACAAGACAGTAGAAGTTCAGGCACAATTGCATCAGATGCTTCGCTTGTAGAGTGATTGCAGAAAACTAGTTTGTTTGATGGGCAGGCCTAAGAATAAAAGAGAATTCAAACATCACCTTTCACAACCGTGGTAACTACTCCTAAAGCTCAGAGGGAAGGAGAAGAAAACTTACGTATTCAGCTTTACGAAAGACAATCCTAATACGATTAAAAGCAGCAGTCAACATATCAGACAACTTTCTTAGACAGAACTAAGAGAAGTTACTTACTTTGCGAACCAGTTTGCTAAGCGTCTCAGCTGTGACAGCACCGACATGATCAATAATCACATCGCTAACGGTCCTGAACGACGCGTCCAGAATATTCGAAGCCAGCACCTCATCCAGGGAAACACCGCAAAGCTTGAGTGAATGACATACACAGACGTGCCTATAAAATCACTTTCTGGGAAGCGGGTAACGAAGTCCATGATTATCCGACAATCTCAACATTCATCTAAGATACTAAGTTATTTATTAGATTGACAAGCCTCATTATGTTTGTGACCCGAGTAGCTGGGACCAATATATCCAGGTGTTTTAGAGGACGACTTAGCATCAGCAGGAAGCCCGGATATGCAACTGGAGCCGGAACAGCTGAACAAATAAGTTCCCACATACAACGAAAGCAAATTGCTAGACTATAAGTGAGAACGGTGGCAGACCTGCATCTATATCCTTGCGTTGATCAGAGCTACCGCGCCTGATTTCGACACCTCCCACCAAATTCCGACGAGGCAAGGTATGTGCGCCTTTCTCGATAAGACAGTAGAATCGGTAGTTCAGCTGCAAAACAAGATAGCCTACGAAGATGAAGGATTAGACCAGGAGAATGTATATGGAAGACTTCAATAGTTCTTGAAAACATCCCAAGAGAAGCATTCAACTTACGACACGCGTATTCATCTTTGAAGTGAAGTCACAGTAAGTGAGGATTTTCAACAAAATCTCGTTTGGCAAATCCTCGAGTCTGAAATGTCCGACTTGTCTTAGTGCCGAAAATGCATTAAAGTTTGCCTCAGCGAACAACACTATTTTAAATTCTCTTTGTTAGAGCGCTTACTAGCTTAACATTCTACAAATCATAGCTTAGAACTACTCAAAAAGCTCTACAAAAGGTCAGCAGCAAATTTTAGTAGCGCCTTCATAACTATTTCAACACAAAGAATTGATAAAATTCAAAAAAGAAGCTGGTCCCAGTTCATAGGTTATCACTGAGAACTCAGTTACGCTTGCATAATGTCTCTACCTTCCTTTATCATTGATTACAATCACTACGCTTTTGTGTGGGACAAAAAACATCTGGAACCATCGCAATTGCTAGCCAATTTAAATATGAGAAGTGGAATCCTTTTTCTACAACCAAAATGGTCTGAGATAATCGTAGAACTTGGATCCCGGGCCAGATTGAACCACGATTACCCTTTCCGGGGACTCGCGCATTACACGCTGCACCACAGAGGCCCTTGTTCTGCGTTTCTCTCGGCTAGTTTCTACCCTACGCTGCCATCAGCAATCACGCGTCAGCGGGATTGATCTGGGCTATTATAGTAGGCAGCAAATAAAAGGTTAACACTGTGATTTCCTCTTCCTACAATTCGCATATCAATGGTAGAATCTTCAGCTAATAAACACGCTGACAGGAACACTTTAAGATAACAAAGGACGTACCGTTTGCAAATTGTAGACGTATGGGACCTTGTGTTCGGGTAGCAGAACACAACTGCGGCTAGAAATCTCGACACTGCCTCGATCACCTGCATGAATAAGGTACAACTTAACGCACCAAGAATTATCACGTACGGAAGCAAGAATGTTGTGGTGCAGGCACCTTTTTCGATAGTTTCGTAGCCAGTGTGGATGCTTCCTTAGGTGGGAATGGTGTGTTACAAGCTCTCCGTTTCATCTGAAATTGCATCAGAATCCTGTAAGAATATCTTTTTGAGCCGAAGAAAAACGATATGGATCGACAAATACTTTTTAATGACGTCGTTTTAGGTTTATAATCTCAACAAATTATTGAAACGGGAAAGTTCTCAGCAATCTGAGACAGTACTGAACTTTCTGAAGAAACATGGCACCATGAAAACACTCTTCCTATTTTAGGACTTTGACAACACAGATCGCTCATACAAAAACAATCACCATAACTGTTAAGTGGGCGTTCTGCTCTACATCGGAATCATAAACTCGGTTATAGGTCCATGCTTTCATTGAGAAGCTAACACGAGGTTGATAAGGAACGTTATTTGGCCGAGGTTTCGTCGCGCTCTCCTTCCTCGGAGCCAGATTGATCCGAGTCGATTGTCCATTTAGAGATGTGAAGTGAGTTCTACGACAGAAAGATGATTATAAAGAATTGGAGACACTCCATCAACGTACGTATTGGAAAGTAATACATGATAAGAACGGAATTCGACCGATGTCCATCGATGGGAACGACATCGATATTGACGGGATCAAAGACGTTGTAAAGGCTTAAGTAGAACTGGAGCCGGGGAACTTGTTGAGCAGGCAGCATCCTTGAAGAAGACAATGGTGAATTCGGCCTATTCCATCAGAGTTTCCTTGTTTGCCTGACTTTTTACCTGTTTACCTAAATTTATTTGAGTAATGATGAGTGAGATCATTCTCAACTTTTGGAAAAAGGATTTCAGATCACATACTGAGATTTCCATCACGACTACAACGTTCACCTGAAGAGAACAATACGTGAAATAGAGGAATCTCGGAAAGGACCAAAACCACTCCGCTATCGTCAACCAACCGGCTCTTCCATTCAGGCTTTATAGGAAGAAATTCAGTCGAGCAGAGAGTGGTTGCGAATATATCACGAAATTCTCCAACGCTAAAACATCCACAGGCTGGTTATCCTTCTTCGAACAACACCGCGGTTGAGATGCAAACTGGAGCCCTCCGACTCTACTGCTTTCTTCTCCTCATGGCATTCCATCCTGTTCTCTGCATAGAGGCTTCCATAAATTCCTTCCGACATTGATCTACAACGTTCGCATATTCCAGTCACGTCGAATCGTCCTTGTATGATGATCATGCAATTACAGCCCATTCAACTATTCAGAAATGGGTTTGTCTATTGAAGGAAGTGCTGTGTATGCGCTAGAAATACTCTAGTGATTCAGTAGCGGAACTATTAGGTAGCGATCTGTTTTCGTCACCTATCGAGTGTCCTAAAATGCTTAAGTTCTACTCTTAGGAGGTCGTGGTACAAATGAAACCTGTGAAGTAAATGAAGATGCTTATTTGCTCTTCGCTGGAGTAAGTGGTTGTTGTCCGGGACGCAGATACGAGGTTCCGAAAAAGAATGCTGAAGAACGAAGATTTGAACGAGATACGATACGATATGATACAATTATAGGCTGGGAACTACTTGCAGTTGCTTGCCATATGTCTTTATATGTTCTTTGTCTACACAGCTTCTACCTCATAACTGGGTAGTGTAGCCTTTACCTTACCAATAAACTAGTAAAATAATACCAACGTGGCTAAAATAATGAAGGATAGAAGAAATATAAAGCTCTTGGAGTTGATTGATCTCTAAGGAATGCATTCGACTTCACTAAGCATCTTTAGAGATAACTGAATAGTTGGTCCATATAATGACTCACGGCGACCTACCGATATACCGAGCCAGTGATGCTATCCTCCGAAACAACATTGGTACCAATTTCCCAGCCCCGGAGGGATAGAGGGCTTGGTGAACCTTGAGCACGGGATGGAGCCTGAGTGCATTGCAGTGAACGTCTAGCCACTGTGTTACAGGCTCCCCTACGTGGCTAAATTAATGACAGCGATATGATGAATGGTTTGGTAGACTCTGCTATATTTTTTTATGATTGTTTTACATGGCATGTCATCACAGCTGCTGTAGATATCCCAGAACTTCTCGCATTCCTTTTGTTTTTCTTCCATTCATAGTCCAAAAAGGTCTTCGGCCATCTCACGTGTTGCTTCTGGTGCTTCTTGAGGATTTCGTCTTCTTTATGAATGGCTTAAAATACTAGTTGAGTCGGTTCTCCTTGCAATCGTGAAGCCATTGCAGTAGCCGAGATGAGGTCCCACATGGGTTGGAGAAGAGTATTGAGGAGGAGGTCGAACCAACACCTTGCTTTCTAATGGAATACGTCACTAGCCACTGTGCTACCCTCCTTGCCCTCGTTCTACTATAAAAATTCAAAAAGTAAGGCTTAAGCGAATAGGAAAACCGTGCAGCATTTCCATGACATGGTATCATTTGAAGTGATAGAGTCAAGCTAGGAAAAGTATGAGTTAGTGCTCGAGAAGAGGTGCAGAAATTTTTATCAGTCAGTGCATTCTGACAAATGTTCGTTTATTTCGCAAAAATGCATCGAACAAATCCGAGATAGTTTTTGCAAAAAGCTGGTTCAGTTTTTGCTAAAGGAGAGGCCATGAAATGCATCCACAGAGAAAAAGTACATAACAGCTTCGTTTATACAACAAGGCCGTTAGATAAAAATGGGGCTACTTCTAGGAACGAAGTACATTCTCGGTAGTTCGTTACTATAGTAGTGTAAGCGCAGAGTTGGAAAGTTATTAAGCATATTGGAACCTTGTAGAGAATATTCTACATGGTGTGGCTTCATTGATGACACCATTTCAGTCATCAGTACACAAGTATTAGCATGATATGAAACGATAGAGAAGAAAATGACCGTTGTGGCACTGTGTTAAGGAATCACACCAAGGCCAGACACGCGTAAACGACATTGGAAAGTAAATTGCTGAAAAATTCACTCAAGCAAGGAACAAAGGTCCTAGAACGATGGCTTGATGCGCCAACGTTTAATGAATTTACTACTAGTGAAAATAAAGTTTGTGATGGGCTTCAATGGGTTCTGAGATCCTCAGCGAACTGATGCTGTGGATTCGCTACAAAGCTGTATCGCAACAAGTCGGTGTGCTATAATACCAAGCTAGGTCAAGGTATGTAGTTTGAGACCACAAAATCTGAGAAGATTTTCTTCCTAAGTATTACGTGTGGATTAACAGCCAACGAACGACAACCATTGGATGGTCTGCCCTCTGCTTGCGAGTTAAGTGAACATTAAGGTCTCTAACATTTGTTCTGAATGGAGGTGCTCCAGAAGTCACATCCTTCCTGATGAAGCTCGTCTGGTCGAAGTTTTGATGGCTAGAATTAGACCCTTTTTCTCTCCAGTTCATAAACTAAACAATGCTGCTTGTTTTACTGCTAGTTTCGTTCAACAGTTACCATCGTCTACGCCGATAGTCTCTTTGATGCAGACCACTAAGAGCGCACGTGTAGAGCACTGATTGGAGGGGTGCTGCAATGCACTTTGGTTCGTCATGGCGTTCCGAGCAAATTAAGCTCCTCATCCATCAGGTCAAACTGCTACCAGATTTGCACGGGAGTGTAACGGCACTTACTCGACATTTCGGTAGGCATTACAAGTCATTGTATAGGCCAGATATGCCTTCAACCACTAATCCAGTGGCTGCGTAGGACATCACTCAGGGATTGATCACTACGAGACGGTTTTTTCTACACATTAAAGAAAAAGACAAAGGCGTTATACTTATAAAGAGCAGTGTTCGATTTATGTCATGCTGGTTTGGAAAGACGATTTCCACTTTTCGTAATCATTTGACATAAATTTCAAAGTCATGTTGGCTTGAAGTGACACATCGGTCTCGAGACTTGCTCAGCAAGAAGCAGGATTCTTTGCCATAACAGGAAGCACTGCTGTTTTGGAAGAAAATAACTCCCAAGACAGTAGACTTCTTGATTTGATAAGTCGGTGACAGCTACGGTAAGGACTTGAGAAGGCTCTGGCATGGATGACCTCAACAGAGAAGGAGTTAAATATTTCCATCAGGCATCTGACCTAAAAGGAAACTAATGCTGAGAATGTTAGACTCTACAGCCTTCTTAGTAATGTTTCGGTTGTGAATTTATTGTCTAAAAACAATAAATAGATGATTACACATGTTAACAATCTGAGTACGACCTAACAAAGGTATCCCCGGGCTTCTGAAAAAATAGAAATGGACCAGCTATCACCAAACTCTCTTCAGTTACGCTTCACACCAGTGCAGCCGTCTACGCTCTTGAGCAATGAGAAAGCCGGTGAGGCGTGAGTGTACTTCAGGTTCTATGCCTCAAAACTAAACCATCCCACTAAATCACAACACTAAACCGTCTGCTTTTATAAGATTCTTCGCAACAATATGCATTTCATGGAAGATAAAGCATCTGACACAAATTCTGGTCAATTTTTCCCTTAAGTAGGAATGACATTTAATCCGAACTTATCGTTTTACTTCAAGAACATCTAAGGAAGTGCTGCAGTCAAGGTGACACGGCGAGTTTTTGAACAAATATAACAAAGTTGTGGTCCTTCGCAAACCCGTTCAGAGAAAAGTCGATTTAAGAATTCGAGCAGGAATCCCCTAAAGCTTTTATTGAGCTAAAGCTTCTACAAAATGCTACATTTGCATCGAAGTCAGTAACTCACCTATCAATTCGTACGTGTACCGACCACTTGTGCTGGAACGTTCGCAACAGGAGCTAAAGCGTGGAATTTAGAAAACAAAGGCAGCTAATTTTATCCGCTTCGATTTTTCCTTTTATAAGTGCACGACAACTAATATAAGCAATATGCGAAGCTATAAGGCCATGATAAGCAAACAGTAGTGCTGGAAGAAGTCGGCAGTAACGGTTACAATAGCATAACAGACTCTGTAATCCACCGTCTAGATACCTTCGGGGTGAAAAAGTATTTTGTGGGATCTGTGTAGGATAGATGTTAATTAAAAACGCGCTCCCAAGGCTCACAACTGTGTTTTGGTGGGATTAAATACTCGAATTAGTTCACTTGTTCCATCTCGTCGGATGTTCTGATCATT